GCAAGAAACTCTGAATTCATTGGCTTTGGTAAATGTAACATTCTGTTCAAGGCTGCTGTGAAGAAAAACAGCCAAAGAAGTATGAAGCCAGGTATTTTACATAAATAAATTCTTCAATCTGATTGTAAGTCAAGTTCTTTATACTCAACTACACAGATACTTTTTCCAACCGCTACACCTGGAAAATACATTTTATTTTCCATCACTGTAGTCATTAAAAGTCTTAGGGTGTTCACGTCATAGTCTGAATATATTATAATCGTTAATACAAAGGAGATTTCTATCAAATTGTCTTTAAACTATTACAGCTTTTTAGGAAAATACAGTTTTGGTTTATTCAACAGTTCTATATAAAGAATCACAATCAGCTTTACTGCTTATCTATGCTTATGTATCAAAAAAACCTGTAAAAATGTTATGAAAAAAGTGACTAATTCACTAGTGAAGTGGAAGAGTGAAGCAAAATTCTCTACAGTGTGTAAAATTGGGGCTAGTAAAGTGAGAGTAAGCTTCAAGCAGATTACACTCCTTTTTCAGATTTCCATATTTTCAAAATTGGCTGCTTCAATGCACTGTTGCAGAATTCCTCAAATACTACTGCATATGATGATATTATCCATATGGCTGATTCCTGACTGATTATTTGTTCCTTTTTATTATACCTCAGGCTTCCAGAATTTTTTTATATCTTTGGGATTTATTTTGTGATTAAGCCTATTGCCTAGTGTTCTGGAGGGCACAGCAGTTTTACTTTATTATACCCTGAAGAGCTTTTTCCTTGCCAGCTGTCTGTTTAAGGCCCTTCCACAGATGAGGCTGCATGCTTTATAATTCAAATTAATTAAATATTTAGTATATGGCCCCTCAGGCAAGGTAAATGCTTCAAAGCGTAACTAGTGATACACTGTCCCCTCAGATAATTATAACATTAGGAAACAGGGACAACATGTTTTTACAGGCTGTGGATGGGCAGGCTCCAGTTAACTGCAATCCAATAGAAGTGAAGTTTTCTATTTCAATACAGGGAGTACCTCCTCCAAAGCTTGGTCAATGGAATGATGGAAATCAACAGAAAATAAGATCTGTAGAAATTTGCATTGAATTTCTTGGGAGCAATGACCGGTGCTTGAAACAGCACTTGAAAACTTCAAGGGGTATTGAACCTCAATTCATTAGGGGCTACCTCGCTGGTATATCATAAGATACAATCAAAGAAAAGGGAAAAGAGGCATTTACTGAATAAAGCCTTAAAAGACTACCTTACCTACTTTAAGGTAGTATCTTCCAGTACTACCTTAAAGACTACACCTAGTCAAATAAAGAAAATGGCAGGGGTCCTCCTTGTGCACTTGTCTAGTGTTGAAGAGTACTTGAAGGTATGTTAAGGTATCATTCCCTGACATGGGAAACCACTTTATGAAGGAAAATGCCGGTGGAACCTAGGTGTTTGTTGTGCTACTAACAAGTTACAGACTGGATGCAGACACACACCGTGAAATTTTACAGGTATATTATATGTGAAGTCAGAATAGTTGACAATACCGGTGACTTCTAGGCTTGAAAGCCATAGATCTGGTTTTTAGGACTCCATACTCCTGACTTAGCTATTTCAGACCAAGCTAATCAAGCAGATGAGCTGGCTGATTTTATTTTCTGAAGGAGATTTTATTCAGAAAAATGTCTTCCTGCAGTTCATTGGTCCAATATCGTAATTTTAAATACTTTACATTTCTGAAAGCCACCTACTTCAGTACCAGCAAGTATCTCTGAAACAGAAGACAGTCTTCCAGCAACAGGTAATTCACACACCACTAGAGTCAGAGATTAATGCTTTTTGACACATGAAAGCTGTAATCCCAATCTTTTAGACAGTAAAAAGCATTCATTTCTGTTCCTTGTGGACCTTGAGCTATTTGACCTTAAAACTATGCCAAGCTTGCACTGGTCTTTTCAGCCTGTGTGAGCTGTTTTCTCTTTGGCCTAAGGCTGAAAGTAACAACTCGCAGACCTAAAATCATTGCAGTGTCCAATTCCTGAAAATACATAACAAGCTGACTAGATTAGTAGGCTAATGTATTAAAAAGGGTCTGAGCTGCCATGCCTAAGGCTTTTATCTAGGCTAATGGATATATAAAAAGAGGTGGAGTGTAGACATGCTGAATACAGTTAATGTGCTTTAGAGAGCATAGTTTTTTCCTGAAAAGGGAAACCTTAAGCATACCTTCTTCCCCTTAGAAATATCCAGGCTCATCTAATGAGATGTCAGTATGAAACCTGGGCCAGGCTCTTCCCTGTGAGATACTCACACAGCAGCTTGTGCCAAATGACCCCAAAATATTACAAGAACAAGTGCAGACTGTGATGTTGTGCAACAGATTTATAAACTCCGTATGACACTGTCCATAAAGCCCAGAGAAGCAACATGGATATGCAGAAACTGATGTAAATGCTTGTCTTTAAACTGAAATACGGGGAAGGGGGGGAAGGAAACTATATACAATGACCCCTTGTGACAGGGGCACTTTCCATGAGAACAGGAGGGGGGTTTGAGCAACCTGGTCTAGTGGAAGATGTCCTTGCCCATGGCAGGGCGGTTGGAACTAAATGAGCTTTAAGGTCCCTTCCAACCCAAACTGTTCTATGGTTCTATGAAAAATGGGTTCAGCATAAAAGCACTATTTACAGAGCAAAAGTGTCTGAATATGCCAAAAGATGGTCAATTTGCATTTGTTACAGGTCATCACAATGGCTTAGGAAATTGTCACCTTCACAAGGTTTTTTTTTAGTGCCCAGCAAATTGTATCGATTCATCCACAGCATTACTTTATTTCATAAATGTTACAGATTAGACTTGGTCCTTTTGATACAAGTTTTTCAGTCAAGTTTTATTTACTGTATGTAAATGTGAACTGGTCGATTTTAAAAGGACAGTTTACATTTGTCCAGGACTTTAAGTTTGGTTTTACAAAACTCAAAATTTGTTCCTACATTTTCAGAAAAAGCTAGAACAAAACCGCGTTGCATAAATGAAAGCTTTACCCTGAAAACAAGCAGACCATGATTTCCACCATTTTAATTGCAAGAATTGAAAGAGAGAATAATTGACCCATGAGGATTATACTGAAAACGTGCAAGAGCCTGAAGGTCAATGCTAATGCCTCATACTATTACTGTTGCAGTGGCAGCAATATCTCTTCGGGTTCACAGACAACTTGGGTGCTAGAAGACCTGTCATGGTGAGCTGTGAAGTAAAATGGGGCAGAGTGGAGCTCTGGAAGAAAAATGTATTTAGGATATGCAACTTGGAAAACTGTAACAGAGTAAGGTGTGTCGGGAGGGACCTCTAGAGGGCACCTGGTCAAACCTGCCTCCTGAAGCAAGGCATTTACATCACATTGGGGCCTAACTGCTTCATTGTTTTGAGAGGCCGGACAGAAAGAAGGAATTTAATCACAAGTATTTTACCTAACGTAACTACCCCAAAACCAGTAGCTTTGGAAGTCTCTCAGATGCATTCCATACACCTAAATTCTGTAGCCTGAAGCTGTACCAGGGCCATATACACAGGCCACAGAAAAGAAGAAGGGAACAGGGATCTCCGGGTTTTGCTATTTTCGCTACAAAAGTTGTCAAGCTGGAAGATGTCCCCATGATAGGAGAGAAAAATGTCAATGAATAAAAACTATTAATGAAGGAGGAAAACCCCAAAGTGTTGCAATGTATTAAAAACAGAGGAAAGAATTTTAGTAGCAGTTGTCTAAGCAACAAAAGTCATTCACATCTTCTTAACTTCTTCCTTCTTTTTCAACAACATTCTTTTTTTCACAGTCTCGTGTTCAATGTCTTCACTTGCAGAGTACTGCAGCAATTTGACTGGGATATAAAGACTCAGCTGCGCATAGAGAGTGGCTGAACCGTATCATAATGGGGGAATAGTCACTACCCTGTTTCCAAGAACCAGAAACTATCTTTTGGGTATGTTTTTGGGAGGGTGAAACCAGAATTGTATTCCAAACTAACACTGTGTTATCATAGTAACTAATTACAAACCTTTATATGTACAGATTACTTCTGACAGTTTGTGGTGGGGTATGCCTGAACACTTCACAGATGCTTACCACATTCTCTGAAGAGACAAATTCACAATACTGTCAGAATGTAGCAGTTTGGGTTGCAAATACCACAGTTTTGCATTAGTTGTTAGGGACCTTAAAGTCTTCTACCCTTTTTAAAATGGAAAACTGATTAGGTATCAACCCCGCCGGGGGTAAAAAAAAAAAAAAAAAAAAGGAAGGAAAAAGTGTGTTTCTTCTGACAAGTTTATTTGGGTTATAAGTGTCCAGCCATATTGATTCAAACACCATAAAGTGCAAGCCACTATCTTGAGAAACTTAGGATTTTGCTTGTATGTGTGTAATCTGTGAGGCGGTGAGGTGCACAGCAGCTTGGAGAAGCAGCTACAGGATTCCGTAACTGTTACAGGCTGGGCTGTAGATGCAACGCGAGGACTAACACACCTGAAGACTGCCGTGTCTATATATGCAAACACGGGAGCAGGCAGCCCTCTTTCAGGAAGGATGCAGTGGTAAGAACGTTACAGCCATCAAAAAGCCTTCACGGAGGCTGCTCGCACACTCTGGTCGGGCGCGCATATGTGAAGGATGCCCAAGGCCGACTGACAACTGTTCGGGGCCGGCTGTGCGGTCTCACATCCCCCCCTCGCCGCTGCTGCTCATGGCGGCGGAGCCGAGGCTGGGGGCCGGTGCGAAAGGTGAGGTGAGGAGGGCCGGCCCTGGGCCCCATTCTGCGGTACCTCCGACTCTGCAGCGCTCCGGCTTCCGCGGGGCCCCACCTGGGCACCTCAGCGCTTCACCCGCCCTCTGCGGCCCTCCCCGGCTCCCGCGGCGGAGCGGAGCGGAGCGGGGCGGGGCGGGACGAGGCGAGGCGAGGCGAGGCGAGCGGCTGCTCTGACGCGGGAGGGCGGTGCGGTGCCGGCGGCGGCGGCAGCAGGAGGAAGATGGTGGCAGCAGGCGGAGCGGCTGCCTGCCGGGCATTCCGCCCTGCGCTGCGCTGCCCCCCCCGCCGGAGCCGCCCTGCCTGCTAAGGAGGCGGCGAAGACCCGCACCAGGTGCGGTGGTTGGAGCCCGAGTGCCCGCGTCGTGGGGTGCCGGGGAGGCCGGCGGGCCCGCAGGCGGGCGGTGCAGCGCGGGGTGAGGTGAGGTGGGTGCCGGGTGGAGGGTGGCCGGCCCGCTCCCGCCCTCGCGGCGCCTCCCGGCTGCGGGGGCTGCCGCCCGGGAGGCGGCGGGGGGGCGGCGGCGGGCGGCAGCGCCGTGTGCTCGGCGCGGCGGTGCGGGCATCGGGAGGCGAGCGGCTCGGCTCTGCACCTGCCCCGGGCGGCAGCCGCCCGCGGGCAGTTGCGGGCTTTCGCTTGTTTCGCCTGTGTGATCGCTGTGTTTAGCGCTGGTGGAATAATCCCGAGCGGATCTGTGCATACCGAACGCGCTGGTTTGCTGGGTTTGATTTATATATTCTTGTTTTACCCAGCCGGCATCGTTTCTTTGGTGAAACAGGAAGGAGGGGGGGCGGGGGGGGCCGTGGAGATTTTCCGTCCGCCGATGGAATGGCCGAGGCAGGACGGGAGCAGAGCCCGCTCCCGCAGGAGGTGCTGCCGGGCGCTCTGACCGCGGCCCCGTTTGTGGAAGGGAACCCACGGCGGCCTGAATCTTCCCATCCTCTCCGTGGGGTGCAGCGAGCTGCCAGCTCCACTCTCTATCAGTGGGCTGGGTGGGGGTGTGTGTGTGTGTTGTGTGTGTGTGTGTGTGTAACATCTGCTGCCATCACGTACCGGTGTCAGGAAAAGCAATTTGGCATAACGATTTGCCTAAATCACAGTTGCGGTCAGTGCAGCCGTATATGCTGCGTCTGCCTTCTGGAAGGATCAGTGTGAAAAGGAGCAATTTACCAAGACTTCTTTGCCTGCCATCATCTATAAATCTGCCTTTTAAGAGGCATGGGAACTTGGGCCTCAGCTGGAAAACTACAGCATCTTTTTGCCTTCCCCTGTTACAGCTTTCTGTGGGCTGTGGAATTGCAGTCCTCTTTGGAGAGCGGGTTGCAGATCCGGCTGTTTTCATAGCTGCTGAGGAACTAGAAGACAGAGATGTTTTCCTGACTCTGCATATATTACGAGTGAGCTAATGTGGGTGTAGGGCAGATCGGGCACGTAGCGCTTTTCGTTTCTGACACGCATCGTGTCATGCCAGCTGATAAGAGCACACAAGGGTGGCTGCGATTTTACATCTGCTCTGTGATTGTGGCCCGTGGGGTCCCAACCAACTTGCCTGGAGAATATTCCTGTCATAGTGCTCCAGGTTCTGCTGCATTGCTGTTAAAATCTGGACTGGCTGCACCTGCCTTTGCAGCCCATGGCTGAAGCAAACACGTGATGCTCAGTTTTCCCTAACACTGATGGTGACATAGAATCGGTTCATTCTCTTAGCGCTATGCAGATAACCAGAAGTGAGATGCATGTTTGCCTTTTGCTCTAATGGGGACAGAGGGGGCACAAACTGTCCAGAAAAGCTGTTTGGGAGCGAAGGAGAACAGTTACTGTTAAATTCAGTATATTTGTGTGTATTTATAATGAAAAATCAAGTGTCCAGTAAATAAAAATAATGTAAGACCACAGGCAACTCTGCAAAAGCATTCGAATGCACATTGGGGTGGATGCTGTGGATGTCTAATGAGTGAAATATAAACCTGAGTGAAAGACAGCTTGAATTCATTGGAAAATGTAGTCTGAGATTGAGAGATTTTATGAGCTTTTAGGCCAAACTGATTTTTTACAGAGTAATGGAAGTTGAAGATTGGCTATGTAGGATGAATTGTGTAATTCAGTGGTCTAAGTTTTCTTGGATGTTTCTAGTCATAGCTTGAAGCAGTACATTTATCTTACATTGTCCTGATTTAAAATAGCAATTTTTTTTTTTTGGCTACTGTGCTAACAGACTCAAGGCCAGCCTTGTGAGAGGCTATTAACATAAAGGCATTCACAGATCAGCCCTTTAGTTACAAAATGTAAGAATACTGGGAAAGTCATTCAGTACATCTAGGTAGATAGCAAAAATAGTTTTGTTGTGTTGGAAATGAGGAAGAGACACCAAATCTTACACAATACTTCTCACAGTTTCTTGTTAATAATTCAGTTCTCAATCACTCACAATTTTTTATTTGTTAAAACTGCCTTCATATGTTTAAACCGTAGGAAAGTAATGCTTTGGAAGAAATGTTGTGATGCTGGATGTGGTGTTGTGGTGGGTGCCAGAGGTGAGAATCTTGGGGCAGTCCATTGTTCCCTTATCCTTGTGAGTCAAGGAAAGTGGGTGTGGAGCTCTGGAGATAAGCCTGAGCATCTTGTATGCTCTATGTGGATGCCTTGAAATCAGGGACTACTAATTTTGAGGCTAAATTTTGTCATGTGTCTGGTAAGTAACAGTAACCAGAAACTGGAATTCTTTGCATACGAGATTTGAATTGATTTTAATTGTAGCAGGAATTGGCTTTGGACTTCTTTGATACCATTTTATGCCACAGTCATATGCAACACTTACATTCTTTAACTTAAAAAGTGTTCAGTCTGAGGATTATGTGCATCTCTGAAGCATAATTAACATTTTCTGTTTATAAGCAGGGCCTACCAGCACCAGAGCTGACATGAAAGACATGCAGTGCAAAGAAATGCAGTCTCCTATTCAGCTGCTTATTCTGTATATTTAACAGGCGAGTGTGGGTAGTCATTTGCAGTGGCTTTGTTGTTTGGCTTCAGGTTCTCTCAGTGTGTGGTAGTACTTTTGGCAAGCAAAACCAGGGAAAACAAATAGTAAATCCAGAAAAGGTGGCTGTGAAAATACACACTGCCCTGATTCTGTAGTGTTGCTGCATGTTATGTGAGGTCAGGGTTAGTATCAAAAACTCATGATAACTTCAGAAAAATTAATTATAAAATAAACTTCGGAGTCATTGAATAGACAAAATGAAGGGAAAGTCAGAGAGCTAGAACCTCTAACTTGCATCTCATGGCCTAGATACTTCTGACCGGATTCAGCATGTTTTTCCCTTGGCACATGAATTGTCTTGCTATTGATCATAGCTTTTCTGGATTTACATGAGATTATGAATTAGAAGAATCAGACCTTTTATGCTGAAAAAAATAATAATACAAAACCAAATTTTAAGTGCTTTGGACAGTTTTATACATGTACTCCATAGGCACTACAGCTTGATTAATTGAAGCTTAACTTTGAACAAGATCCTGTTACTGTAGGTTTAAGTCAAGCCTTGATGTTCCAGTAATGCATTTTTTAATGTGTTTTTCTGGTTTCACAGAAGGTGAAGATTCCCGCTTAACGAGAGATCTGGCAAACAACTGTCTGCTTATTTATTTGTAATAGATTGCTTGCAATACGTGCTGTATAGGGGTTAAAGGTTTCTGAAAAACAGAGTAATTGTTTTTGCTTCGTAGTATTGATTGATTTGATAAGCCAGCTGCTCAGAGCAGTGTGATGGTATTTTTGTGTTCCACCACATGAGACTGTGTTCTTCTACAAAATCTGTATGTCTGTTGCTTTACTGAAGGGGCCTAGGGAAATGTCTTTGTTTGATCCTTTTGGGAAAAGAGGGATGATAATATCTGTCCTAATTCTGAATAAATAAATACAGGAGCAGTGTAATGGGTATATGACAGCTATGGATGGCAGGGGGCTTGGCTGAGGATACTCTTAGGACCACAGGATGGTATTTTTCCACTAGACCCTTTCTGTTGGAGAGGGTCCATCTTGACATGGGAGGAGTAGTGGGAATGAAAGTGCAAATCTGTTTCTAGGGAGCCAGTATTTTTGGCACTTCCCAATGGCATCTTACCTGGTCCATCCTGTTGTCCTTACAGGATCATGTCCTGCAAGGTGTTTCCTGTGATGCGTTCTGTCTAATGGCAAATACTTACTGGAAGAAGTTTTCATCATCCAATAAACCTGTATAGGCAACTGTTTGTGGATAAGCAGTGTGATTTTTACATCATCAGCAAAACTAGTGAAAGAAATGGATTAGAAGTATTTAAGACAGTAAATAATCTAGGTGAGTTAGACCACAATGGGAACTTCTGTTTTTCCCATCGCATAACAAAAGGAGGAGGAGATCATTTGTAACATTTATCCAATTATATCAGAATGTTTAAAAATTTAGAGTGTTAAATGTTTTTTAATACATGTACCCTCCCTCTATGATGTCCAGTGTGTTCTTGGATTATCCATTTGGTCTGTCAGATCTTGCTTAAAAGCAAGCAGTCAAGAATAACTTGCTTTTCTGTTAGTGAGCACTTCAGTAAGAATTACTCTCTGTAAGAAGATGACCACCTTGTCACCCATCTGAGGAAAATGTGAGTGCAGGGGAGTGAGAGACTTAATTAAAAGTCTGTGGGAGAATATGACAGATGACAAATTCCATCCTTGGAATTTGGGCTGAATCCTTTTAGTGGTAATTTCTCTTTTTCAACTAATTAAACTCTTCTAAACCTCCATGGCACCCTGTTTGTGCATCAAGAACATACCTGCTGAATTTGATGTGCAAACTTTCAGCTTGGAAAGATGAGCACAGATCAGGAAATCACCAGGGCAGCAGAGCCATGGAGTCCTCAAAACTTGGCCATCTGCTACCAAGATCAATTGAGCAGCTACCCTACATTAACTCACTGTTGCTTGATTATTTCTGTGCTGGGGAAAAGAGCTGCCTTCCTGTGTATGTGTTATTGAGATACTGGTTCAGTGTCTTGGAGATACAGGTGTAGAGCCTGTTTTGATGTGGGTAAAGAATTTTATCAGTTTTGGGGTATGTAAAAGTAGGAACTTTTAAACAGAAGGCAAAGGAAGAAAAATCAGAACATAATAGAAGATTTAAAATATACACAAATATGACCTCCCCCTCCCCATATATGCTTAGGTTTTATTATTTTATTTTATTTTTAATTTAGTTTGACATATGAGCTCTGATAACAGTGTTATCATGACCATGTATTTATATGGTGTCTGTTTTGAAGGGGCTTTAATCATGTTTGAAATCTTGATGCTTAGAAATCTTAAATGTAGGTCTACTTTAGGCTAAATAAATTTAAAATGTTTTAAAAAGAACAACTGAGTAATGCCCAAAAAAGCTCCTGACAGAGGAGG